AATGATTTCCATATGGAGCAACGTGTCTGTGGAAGACTTGACTTGCTGGGAATGGGCAAGAGCCTAATCCTCAGGGTGGGTTTGAGCTGCAAAACAGTCACGCGGGTGGGCACCTCTTCCCCTGCGCGTGGGAGCCTGGGAACGCGTGCGGAGCTGCTGGTTCAGGGATGGTCAGCCCCATCTCCAGGAGGAGGCGAAGAGAGTTTTGTCCAGCCGTGGGTGGCAAGCCCAGGGCAAGGCACGGTCCTCCTCTAAATCACATCGGCGAGGGAGCGTAGCTGGAACCGCCTCGGGCAGCGCGGAGTGCGCTTCCTGGCCCCCGCGCGGGAAATCTGCGGCCGGTGGGGCCGGACCCCGGCTGGGCAGGACTGTGCTCCGGACCCCCCTTCCTCGTACATGTGCTGGTTGTCATTAACCCCCGGTACCGACCGCTCTCATTCCTTTCATTTCTGAGCAATTTGCTTTGTTTAGAGCTCAGCCAACAGGAGGAAATGTATTAACTGCCCTGAAATAAGTGTCTGGAGAGGCACCAGCTCCTGACTTAGAGACCATAGAGGAGGCTGAGGTTGGTACCTGAAGAGCTGCAGGGCTGAGGGAGCTCACCAGAAAGGAGAAAGAGCTGGCTTAATCCATCACACGCCTCTTTTTTTTTTTTTCTTTTTCTTTCTTTCTTTCTTATTTTTAAGGTGAAAAATCGTTCACTGTAAAAATCTTGACTTTAATCTTAATTGCAGCCTTTAGCAAGGAGATGCTCTGGGGTAGCAGGCTCACTGCCAGGGGAATGATTTGCCACTCTGGCGGCCTGAAATTGCATATTTCTGGATCATTTATCATCCACTTACTGCCAGCAGTCCTTGCAGCTGCTCTCCCGAATGGGCAGCAAGGAAGGCAGAAGGTGGGAGAAGGTGGTTGCACAAATGCAAGCGGCTCGCAAGGGCATTAGCACAGCGGGGTGTGAAAAGAGACGTCCAACCTGCCTGTCTTGCCCATGGTCCTGAGCGAAACTTTAGCTACCTGCGCAGGGAAAGACCTTGCAGTTGCAGGTCCTAAACCATCCTACTTTATTCACAAGCTAACCACCTGTCCCTGGAGTCCTCTTGCTCCGGCAGTTTTACCTGGGTAAGCTCCAACGGTCGGCTTCATTTATCTGGCCTACGTTAAGTGGCTGGCGGGTTGCATTATTTTTAAGTGCATGATGTTCTTCCAAAATTCATCTTCATCGGGATGACACGTAGCAGAGAGAGTTCCCGCCAGCTGCGCTGGCCAGAAAGGCAGCTGGTGACGGAGCAAAGAGGGCAGGTGCTCCTGGCAGTTGGCGTATCCAGAGGCAGTCGGGATAACCACGGCAGGCAGGAGGGTATCCGATGGCTGCTCCTAACTCTCTCCAGGCCATTCTTTGTCCTTGGAGCTGTTCCTTCCCCTACCTGTGGCTTTGTCACGTAAAACCCCTTTTCAGAGGGAACGGCTCCTTCTGGCTTGTGTTTCTTTGGCTTGGCAATGCCAGCTGTGTCCTTGCCTTGCTGGCCATCGGGCGCCAACGCAGACTGTCCCACGGGATGTCTATGGCTAACTAGGGCATCCGGAGAGGGATACCAGTGTCAAAGTCAGTCTGCTTCCTGCCGGTCACTGGTTCCCAAAGTACAATCTGGAGCAAATCTTGATGCAGCTCTGCAGGTGAGCTGCGCGGTTTAGCAGAGCTCTTGGTGAAAGCCCGATGGATGATCATGTCCGTAGTGGATCTGGAGAGCTGGCAGTAGCGAGACGTTGCAGAATCCCGGAGTAGCGTTTCCTAGTGATCCCTCCCAGCAGCGCGTCCTCTGCCCTGCGGTCACTGCTGTGTATGCTAACATGTCGGCACTGTGGGTTTTCCCGATAACAAAGACGAAGCTGAAGCTTTTGCTATGAGGAATTGTGTTATTACAGCTTCTCTTGACTGGCTTTTTCTAGTACCCCATCAGCTGTGGGTCTGACTGCTTTTGGTATCACAGAAAACAGTATATTGAAGGTCCATAACTGTTGCTAACATATTGCAGCTGAAGTCAAAACACATTCCCCCGTTATATCTTGAGAGGGTCGGGGGGAATCCAGTGAAAAACTTTCCACTCTACTGAAAAATAAATAAGCAAGTGCAATTATTAGCCAGGGCATCTCCATTTCTGAGTAGCGTAAGCAGGGGGTCAGCGGAGCCGGGAAGCTGGGGATGCTCTGGGCCCCCAGGCCGGGATAACCCGAGAAACAGCCCCAAGGAGCCCTCAACCCTCGCCTCCCCGTGCGGGTTACATTAGCATTTCCCGAGGGCTAAACTGGCTTTTCCCGGGGGTTAGGAAGCGATTGGGTCTTCCAGAAGTGAGAGCAACCTCAGAGAGCGAAATGAGGGGTCTGAGCGTGCGGCACGGGAGAGGCAACGGCGACTATTTCAGCAGCGG